TTTTAAAAGTATAAACAAACTATTAGGCAACAGTACAATCAATTGATTAGGTTTTAGATTTTTTTTTTTAAAGAGACACACCAGCTTTTCAAATCAAAGCCAATGTAGTGTACTTTAAGTTTAATGCAGGTACAATTTATATGTACACTGCATGCCACAACAAAACCACAGTATGATGCCAACACAGTCTTTAAGAAAGTTTCCCCTAAATCTCTGCAGAAAAACAGCCTTCAAAGAAAGCAGGGATTAGAGTGAGCTAGAAGGTAGGGAGGGGACTTACCTCAAACCTAGTCAAGCGGAAATCAGAGCAGTAATTCTACAAATCGGCAGAGTACACTTTTAGAGCTATAATGGTGTGAAGAAGTGCTGGGCAGCATTGCCTGAAGGCAGCACTAATACACTGATGACTAATGACTGGGCCTCGCAGACAATGAATTTGGGGGTTGAAAACCAACAGAAACCATGCAGTACCTTGACAAATGGGCTTTCACAATTTCATTCACTGAATAACCTTTAAGCACAAAATTGGCTCAAGTTCTCTTGGGAATAACATGACACATGTTGTTGGACAATGATATAAGTATTTTCCTGTTTAATTAAGACTATTCCACCAAATACATAAACATCATTACAGTGAATGAAATATAAGTGTTAACTATTTACCAGACTGAGGAGGAGTTAGGACACCAAATTTAAAGTACTTTCCTGAGGACCAGCAGTCCTCAATATCAAACTGCATAAATGTCTGCAATTCACCATCTGCAGGAAATACTTACTTTTTGTTAAGATTTTGCTGGGAAGGTGAACAAACACACCTTAAAGTGATGCATTATAACAGCCTATCAATCAATCAGTAACAAGATGCTCAGAAAATGATGTAGTAAAAGATACACTTCAAATTACAACTGAAAAAGTTTAATTTTAAAGACACTACTCAAAGTCAAGCCATCATAAAACAAATCAAACTCCATGTGCACTTTGCAGCCTCCTATAATCATAAACACATTAAAACAACAGTATTATTCTTTAAAGGGGCTTTTTTTCCCAGTGTAACTTGACTTCCAATCTGAAAACAACAATTTGGGCTATTTTTACAGACAGAATGAAATATCTAAAGTGTCCCTAAATTAACAAGTACCACTTACTCCAGACAGCATTGCCTTTAGCAGCTCCTAAAAACTTCAGAAAAGGATCTTTAAACAGGAAGCTTAGTGAGCTCATAAAACTGTTGTTGGAGCCAGGAACACATAGCATATTTAATCTGCAAACTGTGAGAGTCTACAATGATTTCAGCAAGATCTGAGGCATGCCCTCAAGGTTTGCTGGGATCTGGGATTAGGGAGTTGATAAGAACCTCTACTGCCCATGGACATGTTTTTCTTCTACAGTTAAACACAAATGCATAGAGACGTTTGACTGCTGCTTGGCGTTACTGCTCAAGTTATATAAAAGCTTTGCAGCTCCTTTTGCTGTCAATATATCAAAGTAAAAAAAAATCATCAAAGTGTGAAATTTCATTTAAAGTCTGTGCCAGTCTACAACTCTATTTCACAGACCTATCAAATAAAAGTAAAGATGAAAAATAAACTGAAAGTACATGAAAAGTTTTCAGCAGCCATGCCCTATTTTTGTTTATTCTGTCTCATTTTATTTGATTTTAAATTATAACAAATCAATGCGCATATAAAAATGACAAAGTCTAAGGAAGCATAGGTGGGGGGCGTCTATAAAATCTGTGGTTGAAAGGCAACTTTAAGTCCTTATTATAGTTGAACCTTTTGTTGAATAAAAAGCTTCCTCTATAGCCACTTTAGCATTTTAATTACCTTGCTGCAAGTTGGCAGAAAATTTCTTGACTCTTCCAAAACAATCAGAATGACTACAGAATATGAGTGCTAGCAAAACTAAAGCCTTCTTCAAAGTATTCTCTAGCTAGGGATTTATAACAATTGCATAAAGAAGAAAAGTCTGACTTTTAAGATAATCTACTATAGTCTAAACGTATTAACATTCCATTACTAAGGTTTTCCTAAGGATTTCATGACTCATTGATTCACTTTTCCTTTAAGTCTGTTTTTTCTTAGTACATTACAGTCTCCATATAGTTAAGTGCATGCAGTCTTGATCATTAAACTGCTTCCTTTCATAATTCCCTCCTCTTTCTTCCCCCCAATGGATCTTGCTTTAATAAGCATCCAATACCTTATTTATTGGGCAAAGATGACTAACTTTTCGAGACTGCTTTGCATCTGTACCGATTTCACTTCTTACTTGAATTCAGAGCCAGGATCAAAACAGCAGCTGGGTGCTAGCGAAATAGTTTTACCAAAAATAAAAAAGAAAGTGCAATTCAAACTTTCCAAGGTGTAGCATACAATGGATGACTGAACAGCATTTTTATTAAGTAATTTACAAAAGGAAATAAATTCTATAATCATTTTAATGGAGGGTCCAATTATTTAAATTTACCTACCCACTAATCCAAAATAAAAATTATGAAATTAATCATGGAATATTTATAAAACAGCTACAAAATATCTCATTTTAATTTAAAAATAAACCTTCAGATATGAACTTTGCATGAACCTTTAAATGTTGTGTTGGCACAAAACAGGAGTCAACTCATTAAAGGAAAATACAGATAATTGTTTTGTGCTACTTGGACAGCAAAATGTTTTGGAAAACAGCATGCCATACTGCAAGCGATGTTCAAGAAATGCACAGTTTTATTTCCTTTACTGCTTTTTTTTAAAGAACAGTATGTACTAAAACAGTGCCTTTTCCTCACACATTAGATTTCTCAACCACATGATCTTTAGTGTAAAAGAAATGATATTTCAATTAAAAGTAGCCTTGTCAAACAAATAATGTTATTTAATGTTTGCTTTAAATTTGAATGTAGTCTAACCAACTAAATGTATTTATGTACTAGCTTGTTAAGCCTTACATTTCACTCCATAAACCAATTATGAGGCTACATCATTCAGTTTACATTGTTAAATTCATTCACCATTACTTTTAATATAATCCCTCAACAGAAATCCTGTGATATATTTTAATGAACTATTTTTTTTCATTTTTATGTTACCCATCTTTGAAAACATAGCATTTTTCTTCCTTCAAAATAATCTTGACATATGTAATTAAGAAACTGTCAGCTCATTATTAATTTTTAATAAAGGACCTAAATGAAATAATTATAGGAATCAATCAGAGAGGTACCTTTCAAAATTACAAAGCAATTGCACAAATATTCAAAATATGTTAAGGCCCGTTCGTTCCTGTGGATTTCTGTCCATAATCTCCCAAAATACTGAACCATAAAGAGTTGTATAACACAAAGAACTGTAATGGTTTCTAAGTATTAAAGAGACTTAAATTGTTCCCATATAGATACATATATATCAGGCATATAGACACAGACAGTGAGAGACTCTGGCGCCGTCTTAAAAAGGTTTGTTAATTTAATTAGCCACATATTTCAAAGGCTTTGAACCATATTTATATTTGAGTTCTTCTGTGATCCAACATAAATGAAGTTAAATAAGCATGATGAAACTTCAAAATAAAAAAAATACCCTTTATTAACCCTGGAAAATAAAGTGTGGCGCATGGCATGCATTACTAGCTAGCACTCCCCTGCTTAATGAGAGTTTAAACATTATATACCAAGTGGACAACCATCCATACCTTTGACTAAAAAGGCGCTTTTACTTTGAGATCCATACAGTCCATCATGTCAAACAGAAGTGGCAGCTGGAAAATGTGGAACAGCTGGCAAAGAGCTGAGAGAAAATGTTTTACATAAATATATCTACATATAAACTGGCAGAAGGCCACAAACACTGGACCCAAAGGACCAGCTCAAAACTATACACCAGAGGGTTAAAAAATGGAGGGGCAGTGGAGGGGATTTCCTTTCACCTTTTCTTTTCACGTGGTGCCTGGACTTGGAAGCTGCACATTTGTGTGTGTGTGTGTGTGTGTGTGTGTGTGTGTGTGTTTATATCAGCTGGGTTGGAAGAAGAGCAACTGTGTAAACAACCTAAGTTTACAGGCTAATTAAAACAACAGCGTATCCACTTTCCTAAAGCTTTAAAGTTATTTGCTATAAGAACACGCAGAAGTTCTAGTACGGACCAAATCCTATATGTGTTTTCTTCCTCTTCTCCATACCCCCTCCCCTCCAAAAAAGCCGAGACAGTAACTGTCGGGAGCGATTCATACTCAACCCTTCCCCCGTAATATTTTTCTTCATACATAGCAAAGAAGGGGGGGGGGGGAGGGGGAGTTGTAGAGGGTGTACAGAGCTCAGCAGTTTGGTATATGCAGCTTCCCAAGTTACCCAAGTTCCAAAGGCAGCAGTCACAACAAAATCACACAGAAAGGGCATAACTTTCACTCTGCCTCCGTTATGAATGAACGGGGCGCCTCATCCTACCTCCAAACCTTCCCCTGAAACGCCACCAGGTTAATCAAAACATAATAGAAAACGAACCGCCTTTTTCTCTCCCCAAAACTAACACTTAAAGTGTTCCCTCTCCCCCCAGCGAATCCTTGCACTTCTCCAGACAGGACGGGGTGTTTGCTACAGCAACAAAGTTGCAGCCAAAGAAACTGGCACGCAAAATAACAAGCAGCTTCTTTTGGGAAGAAAGCAGCTGCTGCATGCAAATCTGCAGTTCAACGGTGGGACAGTAAGCCTCAAAATCCTTTCGGAGTGCAGTAGGGCACAGAGAGAGAGGGGCCGGGGAGAGAGTACTTGCATATTGTTGCATACTTTTTTTTGTTTTGCTTAAAGTTAAGGACAGTTTGACAGCCATTTTTGGGGGTAGATCTCAGATCGCCTCCCTCTCCCCTCCCGTCCGAGTTAAAAAGAGAGCGCGCGAATGAGCTCGGAAATGAAAATACAGTGCCCCCCAACCCTCTGGCTTCTCGGCACACACTGCGCACAGCCCCGTAAACAAAGAAGAACTTCTTGCAAAACTCAGTCCACATACCTGCTGCTGCTGCCGCTGCTTCTGCCAAGCCCCCCAAACTTCCCATAGGCAAGGTTGGGTTGCTGGAGCTCCCCGCACCGTGCCTGCAAGAGGGGATCTCTCTTTCTCTCTCCTCTGGCAAAGCTTAACAGGACCGACCCCAAAGGATGAAAGCGGGCATTTTGCTTCTGGGATTTTTTTTTTGGGGGGGGGGGGGGGGGGGGAGCGGCTGGGGAGAGAAGAGGCCGGGCTGCGTGTGTGTGTTTGTATTGGTGCTTGTTTTATTCCTGCCCTCCTCCCTGCAGGAGAGAGAAGGAGCGAAGCCCGCTCCGTTTGTGTGCGCGCGGATCCGACATCAGTTTCAGTGATCTTGTAATCTGATCCCTTCTGACTCACTCGCCCGGACTGACATTTCTGATTTGGTTCAACAAAGGCGCGGGGAAGAGGCGGGGGAGAGAATCTACCAGGCTGGAGCAAAAACTTGCATCGGAAGTCCTCTCCATCCCCCCTCCCCCCTCCCAAAAAAAACCCCCATGTCAATCGCACCGTAGCTTTTCTTTTTAAGTCCACCCAAGGAGGGCCATAAAAACACCCCTGCTCCGATACTCACGTGTTGGAAAAGTTGTCCCTTCTGCCTTCCTCTCTGCCTCGCTCCTTTCCTCCTCCTCCTCCTTCGAGTCCAAGTTTTACAGATGTTGCTGGACTCTTCTCCACCACCAACCCCGCCTCCCCCCTCTCCCTTTCAATTCTCCACTCTGCACCAGAGGAAGGGGAATGACCTTCGGGGGAAAGAGGCAACTTTGGGGCTCCCCCACCACCCCCTGCCGGGCGGGTCGGGGACACTCAACTTTTTGGCGCGGGGAAAAGGGTCCCTCCTTTGGATTTGCCTGCTGGAAGGGCTACAAACGCGAGGGTCACCCGCTCCCCTCCGCCTGGCCGGAGCGACCGAAGTCAGCAGGGGGCATGTGGGGCGGGTGTGCTGATCAGTGCTGGGTGAATGAGAAGCCGGGAGCAGCACAAACACGCGCTCTCAATCTTATGTCCCCTCTTCTCCTCCCTCCTTTTACTTTAGCCTCCCCCCCCCAAAAAAAAAAAACCTTCGGCTTCAGCTCAGACACCAGGAGGCCACACCCATAGCTGGGAGGGAAGGGGAGAATCTGGTTTGGTGCCTTCACTCAGCCACTTCCCCCTTCCTTCACTCTGGCATCAGGTTCTCTCTCTTTTTCATCTTCCTCTCTACCTTCTGTTACGCTGTCTGCTTCCCTTCCCACCCTTCAGTCTGTGCACAGCTCTCTGTCCGGGTCAGAAAGGCTCACTTGTTTGCCTTTCCTATTCTTTTTTATCTGGCCCTCACATTTTACCCTCTCTTTCCCACTGTCTTCACACCTTCTCAGAGCATTCAAAACTCATGGGTTAACCTCCACAAGAGAATTAAGGGTTTAAAAAACAACAACAAATTTGAGGCGTTCTCTGTATTTACTTTTTGGCATTTGGGCCTTCGGGATTCACATTCACAGGCTTAGCTCTGCTCTCACATAGCCTGGAAACTTTTTCAATTGAAATTGAGAGTCTCCAGAAATCACATGACTCTGGCACCTGGAGCTGCAAGAAAAAATATCAAAGCTCATAAGACTTGGAAATACTATTATACTGCCTCCTTCTCCTGTATTGGTCCTCTTCTCCCTGTAAAAACCCGCTTTTGAACTTTTTGTCCCACTTTTCTTTAGTTTTTCTCCCCAGACTAGGACTACATGTATACATCATGATGTATACCAAATGATATAGTCCAATACTTAGCCTTTCATCTGCTCCTTTTGCCATAATCTGATTACCAACTGATTCAACAGATTCACTCTTGATTAGATCTTGATTCAGCAAGATGCTTAAGGACAGACGAGTCTCACTGAAGTCAGTGTTAAAGCTAGGCATATGCTTAAGTGCTAAGAATGCCAAGCCAATAAAAACCTCAATTAATCATTCAATTAAAAATTAATCACGATTAACTGTGTAGTTAAAATTTAATCACGATTAATTGTGCACTTAATCATGCTCTTAAACAATAATAGAATACCATTCATATAGAATGTTTGGATGTCTTCCATGTTTTTAAATACATTGATGTGAATTATAACACTATACAAAGTGTATGGTGATGACTTTATATTATTATAAATCTTTGCACTGTAAATATAAAAGAAATAGTATTTTTCAGTATATTTTATACAAGCACTCTCTTTATTATGAAAGTTGAAGTTACAAATGTAGAATTATATACAAAAATAATCTGCATTCAAAAATAAAACAATGTTAATATATAGCACCTACAAGTGCACTCAGTCCTACTTCTTATTCAGCCAATTGCTCAGACAAATTTGTTTAAATTTGGAAAAAGATAATGCAGTCTGCTTTTTGTTACAATATCACCTGCAAGTGAGAACAGGCATTCACATGCCCTTACGTTTCTAGTAGTTATGACTTCTTTGTTGTGATGTGGGAAAAATTCAGTTGCCACATGACACTATAGTGGTAATAATGTGACATATGACAGGTAAGAAATGCTGCTAGAAGCCTATTTTAATCACTCTTTTTTTTTACACGCTTTAGAATTTTTTATATTTTAAAATTGAACAAAGTCAAATTAAGCTCTAATAAATTAAAATTAATTAAGAGTCTTTGCAGATTCTACATGTGTCTTTTAACTATCCATGTCATTTTTTGGTGGTTTTATAATCACATTTTCCTGTAAATAATGTTTTTCTCTCCCCTGTTTCTACATGAAATATCCTCAGAAGCCAAAGGGGAAACTGATTAACTATCCACAAAGTACTATCAAACAAAGAGAAACTAATGAGAAAAATGTGCTTTATCTAATCTCAGGCCTAGTAATCTGAGATGTTAGTTGTAACAATAGCCAGTAAAAATATTGAGACAAATATATTTTAAATTGAGGGTGTGCAGTGCTTAATATCTAATTAAAAAGGTGTTGGGGCTCAAGCAAATAGGTTCAGGGGCTCCAAAAGGTTTTGTTTTGTTTTTGTTATTTTAATTCATAACTGATGCAACAAATCCAGTGGTGCCAGGTTCTGAACTGCCAAGCCTAGCGGTGCACAGGCAATCTCTGGCACACATTAAGCAATGAGGGTGTCTTTTTAAATCACAGCTCCTCTTGAAAACAATAGTTGACTTCTGAACTAGTTGGACTCATCTTTACTGTAAATCTGAACAATTTCTTATGCCACAAAATAATATTTCATCTTTTACTAAGCTCACCCACACTGAGTATTTTCAAAGCATCTCTCTCAGCTTCCCCAAACCCTTGCTCCCTCAAATCACAAGTGCTCTCTCATTAAGACAACTAAGAAATTAAAAAACTTAAAAGGAATCTGAGTGTTTTGACTTCTGCTTATGAAAAAAGAGACTTCTGATACATCTCCGAGACTTGAAAATATTGAAGGAAGAGGAGTAACAAAGAAACAACCAGGCTTTCTGCCTTTGCCTCTTTGAATAGGTCACACTGAGCAAAAAAAGGGGAAAAAATGAAGGCGAGGGGGTGACATTTGCTATTTGAAATGTATTGTAAATGTTTCAACACCTTGACAATGAAATACCTAACAGAAGCTTAGGACATCCAAGGCCCTTCAGCTAAACAAAATGAAAATGGGCAGATTTGTTTAAGGAGGTTCCTTCTTGAAGATTTTTCACTTTTGTTTTAGAGAATTCATACTTTAAAGAAGTAGTGGCAAGATAAAAATATTATATTAATAAGAAATCATTACTAAGGGGTTGCATTACCCTATTGATAAAACCTGCACTGAGAAATTCATCCATATGATTCCTTCAGGAGCAAGTGTTGCCTCATGCAGATTAGGTCAGTGGGTCAATGTTAATCTCCATCTCTGTGCCATCAGTGCCAACCACTTCTTGGTAATAAGGCGCCATTAGAACTCAGGGCTGCCACCAAGTATCTAGTTTTGTGAAAAACTCAAACATTCAGTAGTGCATCAAAAGCTGCCTTCCTTCTTGCTGCTCCCCCTGTTGGATCAAGGCAGGACATAGAAGCCAAGAGAAGCAAGGCACTATGGCAGCAAAGGCTGAAGATGAGAGTCCCAGTTGTAACCTCAGGCTCTTTTACACCCACACATTTTGCTGCACCAGAATCCTCTTCCCACCCTCTCCCCATTCCAAACCCTGAATATACTGACTATAACCCATCTCCCAGGGACCCTTTTAAATTCAGAAGTGCCTCACCTGCCATCCAAGTGTTCCAAGTAACTGTTAACCATTCAAGAGTTCCCAGCACCTCTCTCCTTTTCATCAAGCACCTGCTCCCTAGCAATTCCAACACTACGTTAGCAGTTAGCAATGGAAGTTCAAAAATCAGAAGGCAGACCAAAAAACAATTTTTTAATGTCACGATTTCTGAACCATTCTGATTTTCTGACTCACGATTTTTTAACTTTTGGGGGTAGACAATAAAGTATTGCTCACTCTTTTAGTGCGGGTTGCATGATATTTGATGCTTTTCTAAAAGACCCAGCTCTTGAAATTCTGTGATTAGATGAGAATCTCAGCTTTCATTTAAATAAAAATACATTTCTCACATTCATATTTCTAGGTCAAAGCTTGAAAGTGTGGTCTAAGCACACCCTAAAAGCTCAAAAAGCAGTAAACATATAAAAAGAACTCCAAACATTATTTGTTTTGTCTCATACTTTTAAACTAGTCTTGTGACTGGGGAGAGAGGGTTACTCATGATTTTTAACCACAGTGGGTTGGCAATACCATGAATGTGAGAAAGAGAGAGCCACATATAGTGGAATATTTCAGATAATTAAAATTACAAGAATTACACAAGTCTAAGTTAATTTCCACAAGGTAATTTATTTATTTTTATTTTATGCATTTCACTAAACTTCTAAGGGTCAATGTGATTGTTAGGTTCAGTTTCACTTTCTCAAATTCCTTTGCTTGCAAAAAGTGGCTCTGTGTCAGTTCCCAGCACTACTGATAAATGTTTATTTTTTTTAAAATGTAAGTATTGTCTCACTTATTTTTAATGTAATGAAAACATTTTTGCCTTAATAAAGTTTTCTAAAATCTATTTTGGGGACTGGAATGACTTGATGGTATCCCTTAAGCCATGGCTACTCAGCTTTGGAAAACCCAGAGGCCACAGTGATACAGCACATGTCGAGGGCTACTACTTACATGTGGTTGCATATACATGG